CCCGCCTAGCTTCAGAAGGCCTATGAGAATCTGGGCTGGTAATATATTCCTGCCCATCTAGGATAGAGGACTTGTCTATCCCCTTCCTGTAGCTGCAGTGGGGCTTCCCTTGTGCTCTAAGGTCATCAGAGTTCTCCATCTTCCCTCAGCACCTAAAGGCTTTTGTTCTCTTAGGGAGATACGAGTTGAAGAATCTGGGCTGTGCATCAGCTTTGTGCCTTTCTAGTAGTGGCTGCTGCTCCCATTCTCCCGGCCTGTACTCTTGAGAGAGGCTGTTTCAAAACGTCCTCTCCTACCTACCCCCAGTCTTTCCTTGAGTGCCCTGGAGGTCTGTGGAGAAGGGCCCGCGAGGTTGAAGTCTGTGCATCCCAGGGGTTCTATAACTTCATACTAGCCTGCAATTGGCCTTCAGCAATTCATTAAACATTTCGGCTAAATTCTTTCCTGGCGTGTATCATGCTTGGCATTTTCCCCAGGTAAGCAAGTGCTCCAGCTTCCTCTGTCCTTGAAGGAGCTGGTCTTTCCTTAGATTTCAGGTTAATTGGTTTGCCTGTGAACGTAACTCGCTGATGGATTCAAGAAAAGTTGTGATGTTTCAGATTAACTTGCACTACTTTGTTGTTGTAAGAGTTGGAGTAATACACTTTCCAACTTTTACATGCTAAGCAGAAGCCCATTGTTTTGCTTTGTTTTTCTCTTTTATGTTGCAGCTTTTGTCATTGGTAGACTTGACCTTGATCTAGACATAGCAGAAAGGTATGTGCCATCATCTAAAAGAAGGCAGCTCTGGTTGGTAGATTACATTAACAAAGGTGTTACCCTGATAATGAATGGGAAATGCATCCCAGGAAAGAGAAACAGAAGGGGGTAGTGAGGGAAGCAAGTAAAAGCTAAAAGCAGGAGGTCTGCATGTCGCCTGGTGAGTGCTTCTGTCAGGGAAGTCAGCTGTTCCTGCCAGGGGCGTGCAGGAAATGTTGCTCCAAGAGAATGCAAAGTGAACGCAGCCAGTGGTTCAGAAATGAAGTCGCGAACACTGAGTGGGGGAGAAGATGCCTTTTGTGAGGAGCCTGTCATAGCCTGCGTAAGCATAGGCATCTTCTCAGAAACGCTATGCTTAGTGGGGTCTCGTGCTCTGTGACTTAATAGATGTAATGCTGTGCATCTTGGATGGTAAGATAGAAGACAGAATTCCTTTCTGCATTGAGCTGATGTCATATGTTGATGTTTTAAAACTCAAGTGTTAAAGCTTGTATCAATATAAGTTCTTCTGGACATTAAAGAGATTCAGCTAGAATATTTTCCCAAGTAAATAAGTCCCGGGCACTTATTAAAAGCCTAATGTCCTAATAAGATGAGGGTAATTTCAAATGCTGGCTAATGTGCCGCCAAACATACTTAACTTTAAGAGGCAATTCAAAAAGAAAAAAAAAGAAAACAGGAAAACAAAACAAACAAAAAAAGAGGCAGTTCAGCACCAGCCATTAAATGATACATATCTATATATATATAAAATTAAATTCAACATATATGCAAAAACTATTGTTCTTGGTGTTATTTTGGATCATTTGGGCTGTTGTAATGAAGCCTGTGTTTTGGATACATTCTAAATATTTTTAAAAGTATAACTTTGTTGTGAGTACTGGTATTTTTGTAAGCAAGAATATTGTTTTACCTTAAAGAATTATCTATAACAAAGGTTTATTACCAGCTGCCCACATGTTCATCAAATAAACACCAAATTTTAATGACACTCTGTTCCCACATGATTTTACATTTTCTTGCTCGTCATCCTTCCTAAATTTTTTATTCTAGATGATGTTACCCCTGATTACTTCTCTAATGTTTTTCACCAGCCATCGAATATTCATCTCTCATTTCTCACCTAAATCTTTTTTCATATAACCTTCCTGTCTCTGAAATAGGTACCTACCTGTTTCGTTCCCTTTTTAGCTACTCAGATATTCAAGTACTTTCTGTCCTTCAGCAGCATTTTACCTCGTGGTTTTGATAGATTTTGCTGGTTAGATGATACTATCTGTAGTCTAATGACAAAATAAAATTGAAGTTCTACTGGCAATAGTCTTTTCCTCAAATTGGGAGACTAAAAATCATTTTTTAGTCTCCACTTTCTCATTTTTTATTATAATTCATGAGAGTAAAAGTGTTGTTTACTGGTGATGACCAGCCACCATTCTAAATTGTTTTTTTTCTCTTATCTCTCCTTATTACTGCATCTGGTCCTGTTCTTTCTCTGAGGTTATATTAATGTTAGGATCCAGGACCGAAGATTACTTTCATGTTCCTCTGTCAGTAGCACGTCTGTCTCTGTCTATTCTTCCTTCCAGTTTTGCAGAAAGTTCTTTTCCCTTAGAAAAATATTCACCAACAAACAGATACAAGCAGATACTCACATTGAAATAGTATATGTGTATAAACACATATACACACATGAATCTGTACTAAGCGTGCAAAGACATTTTAATTCCAAATCTTGTACACACATTCTTAGCATAAGTAAAATAAAAAAATAAAACATCTGAGTGCATACAGAGTGAAAGGTTCAGTGTTTGGTTCTTTGAGATTGTATTAGGAAAGGATAAATATTCTAGTTGGAAGAACAGATGGAAGAGTTGGGAGTAAGGGAGAAACAAGTTTTGAGTCTTTCCTATAACTTCGATTCCAGATTAAAGAAAAACTTCATGAATATTTTGGTTAAAGACCATATGGCAAATACCTTTCTCTTCAAACTTGTTAAACAATGGTATGTGCTATTTCACAAAACATTGTAGTTTAGTCATTTAATTTGTCTTGTCTTAAAATTTCTAACATACATAAAATAAAGGAAAAGGTAGTATTTATGTAGGACTTTACTATTAAGAAAATTTCATGGCGTTTATTTCCTTTAAAAAGACTTGACAAAAGTGATTATTTTCTCCTTTTTTGTAGTATACTCTGAAATATATTTTGTTTCATAAAAGAGTGAATGTACTATTTACATTTAAGTTGATTTTAGGAAAAATAACTTTCAAGAGAAATTATTCAAATGCATATATAAACTCTGCGACATATAACTAAGTAACTGCAAATTTCCCCTTTGGCTTATCAAACTTTAAATCTGTTACCAATGATTTTATCTTTTTAAGAGCTAGACAATATAGAAAAGTGTGTGTTTGTGCACATGCACATATGTGTATATAGTGAGATTTAACCAGAGTGGGTGGAAAGTGACAAGTGCTCTTCTTTGGGCAAGACAGGTGCTATATTAGAGAAAATGGCCCGTATTAAATGTATAGGATGACAACTCATCATAATTATATCTTTTTAGAGCTTAAAGCAATATCATTGATAATTTAATGGAGCTGCCTTCTTTGGCAGTTTGGGGAAATAAGCCAGGAGTGAATTCCTTTAGGTCAACTTTTATAAGGTGAGTGAATTTGTGGCAGAGCTAGGGCATAAGCCTGGA